CCCCAAAACCCCAAAACCCCAAAACCCCTTGATGCTTTTTATACGAGATAATTTTACTAAATCTACAAAATATAGAATTAATTAATAATCACAAGTTCATGGTATCAAAAGCTAATTCATACATAATTGAGAATATCAAGAACATAACTTAGAAAATAAGTCTTGCAGTAGCCTAATCCTCAAAGACATAACATTGCAAATTAGTAGCTGTAAGCAAGACTAAGCCTATGGAAGATATCATCACAGCATATGAGGGTGGTCATAGATAATTTGGAGAAAATTATATAGAAGAGTTTCTAGAAAAGATAGAAAAATTCAATTCTATGACTGCTCAATAGGTAGAATCTCCTGAAGAAGAATCAAAACTCCCAATGGCTTTTTATTCTGACATATAATGGCATTTTATAGGGCACATATAGTCGAATAAGGCAAAGAAGCTCATTGATGGCTCTAAAAATATTAGGAATTTCCTAATAGAGACTATTGATAGTGAGAAATTGGCCAATAAGATTAATAAGGAATGTGAGAAGATTTAGAGATAAGAGCCAGTTGGGGTGCTCGTTTAAGTTTTGACAAGTGACGAAGGTACTAAGTTTGGAGTTTAATAGGATTAGGTTCATGATCTAGTCTCCTATATTTATAATAGCTGCCCTTATTTACGATTCAGAGGACTCATGACTATGGGAAGGCTACATGACATTGAGGGGTTCAAAGTATTATTTATATTTATAAAAATTATCATAGCAAATGTAAGCTCTTAGAGAATAGATCTAGAGGGAGCATCCAATTAGTAATGAATAATTTATCTTATCTATGGGTACATCCCTTGATTTTGAAGAAGCTGTAATGAAATTAAGATTAATAATAATTTAAAATAGATATTAGAGGGGGCAAATGAAGTTAGAGTAGGCAGTGACATTTTTGGTGTTAGAGACTATACTAAAAAGCATTGAGAAATTAATTTAATCGAGTTTATCTACTTAACTTTTTTAATATTGCTTGATATCATTATCATATTTTATCACAAGTATGAGCTTTTATTCAAATCTCCATTATCTCCTCTTGACTTCTAATTCACACTTAATGATGTCCTATTTAAGTTATTCTTAAGGTTATGATTAGTCAAATACATCTCTCTAATCCTTTCCTTATTTTCCTTAACTAGTTCTGCTCTATTCATTTTATCTTGGATCTTTTCAATTAGCTTAGTACGATACATGTTCTAATAGAAATTAGGATCAAAATTATTAAAATTACATAAAAGTTTTTGGTTCGCTATAGGTTTTCCATTTGATCTATCTTTCTAAGGAAGGAAAGCTCCTTTTTCTGATCCATATCTTCTTTGAATGCTTCATAAAATTCATCTATTAAATCATTTCTTTACTTCACTCTATTCTCAAGATACCTTATTTTATCAATTTCTTTCCTCATGATTTCTTGTTATTTCAAATTAGCATTTTCAATTCTCCTTTCATTTTTAGTTTTGATTTAGTAGAGCGAGGAGTTAATTTGATCTTATTTCATCTTCTCTGATTTAATGATCCGACTGTAGGTCTTCTTGGCCAGGTGCATTTATTGCTACTCATACTCTTCCTTTGTCCAAAGAAACTTTGACTCTTCCACCTTTTTGTTAATTGAAGACATTCTCTCCTTTACTTTTTCAACTTCTTAAATCTTTTTATCTTCATGTGTTTTCAATTTTTATTCGAAAATTTCAAGCTTCTAAGAGATTTAGTTTTGTTCTTACTAAAAACCGTTAATATTCAATATAATAATTTACCAACTTAATCATCATAGTTTTACCCGTCTTATCTTTTTTCTCTCTCTCTCTTTCAAGATCAATTAAAAATAATTCCTCTTACTATGCTTTGATCTTCTCCTCTCTTTTCTTTTAAAATTTCTAATACTCCTATTCAATCAATTCCTCTTTCTACCTGAGTTCTTACTCCTTCATCATCATTATTCTCTACTTTTTATCTAGAATTTGCTCTCTCCGTTATTTTACCTGCATTATCCTATGCTAAAGTACCTGCTAGCCTTCCTTTTTTTCCTTTACATACTTCTTCTCCTTTTTCTCATAAGTTTATACTAGATTTTTCAATTGCTAGACTTGATCAAGCTTTACTTTCTCCTTATTTTCTAGAACTTTATTTTTCTTCTCCTCCTCATAAATCTTTTTTGCCATTTTCCTATTTAATCTGAATTCAAAGTCTAAAGGCTCTCTAAGTGGTATATCAGGCTAAGAGCTTATCATGCTTCGATTATGATTTTCATTTTCAAATTAATCGTAGGATGCGTTTCTCATGTTTTTAAGTTATGTGGATATTAGTCTTGACTTAAACATCAAGTTAGTTGAGTTAAGTCGGTTAGTAGATTAAGTAGATCTGTTGAATCTCATCATTGGAGATCCATTCTCTCCAGGTTAATATAATCCTTTACTTATCTTTATCATTCTTTCAATTATATCCAAATTATCTAAACTCATGATTAAGTAAACAATCCAATTTATAATTTTTTCAGGAGAGATTCACTTACTTTTTCTCTTATCCTGGTAATGCTGAAACCTTACTTTTTAAATCACTTAAGATGTGCCTGGTTCTTCAAAGTCTTAGAGTTATCTGAAATTTAAATCAATGATAGATTTTTTAATACTTGAGTTTCAGGGAATTCGGGTCAATATTTGCTTCTTTACAAAATGCTAACGCATCATCATTTAACTCTTATTACTGTTACCCATCACTGAAAATTAATCCATAAGATGCAGTTTTCTTCTTCTTTGGTAATGTAATCTAGCTGCTATTAAGATCTATACATATATCATATAATGCTTCTATTAAATTAATTACCTTAAACCATCTAGGCAGAACTGTTAATAATTTAGGGTAAATAAACTGATGACATTTTATTATTGTGGATTAGTTGTACTTTTTTTAATTAAATTTATTGAATAGATCTTATTTCTAATAAATTGTTAGATTTTTTACTATAGGGGTTTTGGGGTTTTGGGGTTTTGGGG